GGCCCCTGCTCCTCCCCCTCCAGTGCCTGTGTTTGCAGAAAACAAAAAGACAAAAAAAAAAAACCGAAACGAGGAAGACAACGAAAAAAAAAAAAAAGGGGGAAAACCCACCCCAATCCCAACCCCACCCACACCCCCAAACCCAACCCAGCCGCTCGGCCACAGGCGGGGCGCTGGGGGGCTAAGCCCCCCCTCTCTGCCCGTCTCTCCTGGGGGGCAGGGGGGGTCTCGGCCCCCCTCCTGGCTGTGCTTGTGGCGTGTCGCTGTCGCTGGTGGTGGATGTTGTTCTTTGGGCTCCGCTTTGCTCTGTCCTGCCCCGGCCCCTGTACATAGAGAGAGCTCTTTATTTTTGAATTCCCGCGGGGGTCCCCAGCCACGGGGGCTGCCAGGGGGGTGAGTGAGGTGAGGGGGGGACACACACAGACTCTCCCCCCCCCCCCCCCCCAGTCCAGCCCTGCCCCTGGGGGCCCGAGGCCGATCCCGGGCACTGCTGCGCAGGGAACACGTGGCTGGCTGTGGGAGGGTCTCTCGGTCACACCCCCGTCCCCATCCCGCTGGTTGCCCTCCCCTAGTCCCCCGTGTCCCGAGTACCAGCTACAGGTACTGGCAGGGGCTTGGGGGCAGCCAGGGGGTGTTGGGGTTCGGGGCGGGGGGCTCGGGGCGATCCAGCCAGCACTGACGCAGCATCGAAAGCACTTTAGACTAAGAGAACGGGTCTCTTAAGGGGGCACAGGCTGCTCCGCCGGGGCCCCCCCAGCACAGGGGCACCGGCAGCACATCGCACACACCCCCCACACACCCCCAGCCAGCACTCCGGGGGCACCCCCTCACCCCAACCCCATCCCTGGGGATGCATCACCCCCCTTCTGGTGCTCCCCCTGAGATTCCCCCAGGGTGGCCCCTCCGTGCTGGGGGCTGGTATTGGCTGGGGCGGGGGAGGGGGTGGGAGGGGCGGGGGATACTAATTATTTTTTAATTATTCTGATGATTTCTCTGCATGCCCTTTGCGCGGGAGCAACCCTCGGGCGCTAACGCTGTATGTCGAGGAGCTGAGCTGAGCTGTTCCTGTCCCATGAATGCTGGTGGATCGTTGCCAAATTTTTCTCTTTCCTCCCCTTTTCTCTCATTCTTTTTCTGTCTCTCCCCACCCCCCTCCCCAGCATATCCCCCCGAACTCCCAAAAAAAACCCCTTTGTCTTTTCTTTCTGAGCCTTGTAAGTGTAAAAGATGACTCTTGATTTCGTTTTTGTCTCGGGAAAACTGCAAATAAATTATGAGTAAAAACCAATGATCGTTAAAGAAAGAGGTGCAGGGAGGAGGCCAAGTGCACCCGTCCCTGCCAGGGTGCCCAGGGAGTGTTCCCAGGTGTCTGTCCCGATGGCCCGCTGGGACGCCGCACAGAGAGGGGGAATAGGCCACAACTGCCAAAGACAACTTTATCCCCCCGGCTGGTGCAGCTGGGGCGTGGAAACCACCCGATCACTGTGCCCGTACAGCTCAAGCCCAAGCTTTTCCCTTCCCAGGGAGGAGGAAGGGGAGGCAGGGAGGGCTGTTGGGCCTCCACCAGGCGCTGAGACCCCTCCCAGCTGATGGGAGCAGGAGAGGGGACTCTGAGGTGCAGGGAAGGCTGGTGAGCTCCCCCCCAGGCACAGGGACGTGGCTCTGGAAGAAGCTGCCCAGGAATGCAGCAAGCACTCCCCCCACCCAAGGAGCCTCTTCTTTTTCCCTCCCCCCCTCCTCCCCCGCCTTCACCCACCCCTCAGCTCACCCTTTGGACACAAAACACATAAAAACCCTCCAGCCCTTGGGATGGTGGTGGTGGGCTGCTCCTGCCCCACCAGCCCCTTGGGACAGCAGTGGGGGGCCCCTCGCAGCTCCCCTTGGAGGGGCTGTGAAGGCAAGGGTTGCATGGCCTGGCAGCCCATGGTCCGAGCCTCCTCCAGGAACAGCGAGAGCAGGGGGGCTCTGGTGCAGACCCCCCTGCAGTGCCGGCCCGGTGCCAGCTTCGGCGTCCCCTCAAGGTGGACAACAGTCACATCAGCCCAAGGGGCTGAGGAGCCCCGGCCCAGCCCCAGGAACCCCCAGGGGGGGGCTGCGGAGGGGGACGGAGGGGTGGTGGTCTGGAGCTGGAGACCCCGGGCTCCGCGTCACATGATTTCACAGCAGGAATTCTGCTTTCGGGCCTGGAAAGAGAAGGAAAACCTTCTGTTAAGCCTGCCGTGGCTCCCCGGGGGTCTGGGGGTTCCGGGACCACCCACTCGGGGTCCCACACAGCTCTCCTCCTGACAGGGGAGGCTGGCACGGCAGGGTCCCGGCCATGAGGCCAAAGGTTCACAGCAAGGAATGGACCCCTCATCCCTCCCTTTGGCCACAGCTGGCACTCAAAACTGGGGCATCCCCCTGCTCCCACCTGAGTGTGAGATGTCCCCAGTGAGGGGCTGGGGGGCTTTGCCAACCAGAACTGGGGCACTCGGGCTCCCTCCAGGCTCACAGCCTGCCCTGCTTGGCACCCATCGCCATGCCCCAGGGTTCATCCAGGGGGGTGACCTCTGGGATGACACTCCACTCACCCCCAGCTCCTTAGGCAGGAGATGACTCCCTCAGGGTTCATCTATGAGCTCCCAGCCCTCCCCAGCTCCTCAGGGAGGGGGTGACCCCCCACACCCACCGTTTTGTAGAAGGCTTTGGACTGTGCTCCGAGCACCTCTGATTTGGAGACCAGGTCATCCAGCTTCTCCCCCCGCTCCAGCAGTGACTCCATAGTGTTGTGCTGCCAGAGAAAGGGGTGCTGAGCCCCAGCACTGCCCCCTACCAGGAGGTGCCACCTTGTGCCCCTCCCACCTTCCCACAGCACCCCCCAGCTCTGCAGCCCTGAGGGACATGGGAACACGGCTGGGGGCAGGAACAGCAGAGCCCCAACAGGGCCACCAAGGGAGGGGTATTTGGAGAGAGGGGGCAGAGCCCCCGTGCTTGTGTTGGGCCAGCCAGGAAAAGCCCAAGAGAAGCAAGGAGAGGGGAAAGGGGGAAAAGTGGGGAGCAAGGGTAAAAAGGGAGAGGCAAGGGAAAAAGGTGGGGGAAGGGAAAAAGGGGAAGAGGCAAGGAAGCTCCCACCTCAAGCATGTCTCCAGGGAATGGCCTGGGGCCACCCTACCCCTGCCCCACAATGTGTGTCCCCAGGGCCCACTGGCTGTGCCAGCAGGGCCATCCAGCTGTGGCCCCATGGCCTCACCAGGATGATTTTGGTCTCATCCAGCTCCGCCTGCACTCGGGTCATCGGGTCAGCATCTCGGGGGTTCTGGGGAAGAACAACATGGCACTGGCACCGCCTTGGGGACACTGGGGTTCCCTGGGCACAGCCCCACAGCACTGGGGTCTCAACACGTGGCAGGTGTCACCCACCTCCCAGCGCCACTGCCAGGGCTGCAGGGAACACAGGAACCCTCTCTCACACTGCCTGGAGGGGTCTCAGGGTCTGTACCTGGTATTTGCTGAGGTACCCATCCAAGGCAGAGTAGCTGATGGTGGCGGGGGACCCCGAGGGCCAGTCCATCTTGCTGACCTGCCTGGAGAACTCATCCAGCACCTGCCAGGTGAGGAAACAGCAGTTACTGCCCAGTAGCTGCACCTGTGGGGCCACACTGGCTGGAGGGGTTTTCTCATCGAAATAGGAAATTTTAGGGAAGGAAAGCTCATCC